TCACAAAAAAAAAAAAAAAAGTTGCCTCTGCTGGATGTCCCAAGGCTCGAACCTGTGTTCCCAACACTTGCACCCCACTATGCCTTTAACAACACGTGCTCCCCCGCTACGCCACTCCCAAATCACATGAATATTATTGCAACAAATATTATTTATATACTATATTCATTGGTATTAATACAAAATTGTATATATGAAAATAATTTTTTTTTATTTAAATATATTTTATGTAAAAAATAAAATATTTACAAAAAAAAATAGGGTAAAGCACTTTTGGCGACTAAATCTGAATTTTAGTCGCCAATACTCCTTTTTTTGGCTACTAATTTCTTTTCTGTCGCTAAAACAGTTACAACCCGACTAAGGCAAGCACATTTGGCGACTAAACTCAATTTTGGTCGCCAAAACCTCTACTTTGGGCGACTAAAATGCATTTTAGTCGGCAATTCTTGACCTTTAGCTACTATTTTTTTTTTGTAGCCAAAAAATGTCACTTTCAGCGACTAAATTGTGTTTAGTCGGCAAAACTTCTATAATCAGCGACTAAACCTGTTTTTTGTCGCCAAAACCATAACTTTTCGCTACTAAATTATTTCAGTCGCCAAAAACCGTGACTTTTGGCTACTAAACAAACTTTAGTCACTAAAAACCCTATATTCGGCGACTAAACTTCCTTTTAGTCGCTAAAACCCTGCTTTTTGGCGACTAAGCTCATTTAGTCGCTAAAACCCTTATGTTCGGCGACTAATTCCATTTTAGTCGCCATTTCATGCACTTTCAGCGACGAATTTTTTTTTTTTTGGTCGCCATTTGTGTTTTTTTTTGTAGTGAATTATGTTCAATTACCTCCCCCAAGGTGATGTTTGTGGGCTTTTATAAGTTTTTCGTGGCACAATCCTAGTAGGACTTGTATTTCTCCATGCAGTGTCCTCCTAGGATTCATACTCCTAAGGATAATGCTTATCCTTTTACACCCTCCCCCACTGCTTAAACCAAGTGGGATGGTTTCCTCCATGGCCGAACCACCATTTGACTGAAATAAATCTTGGCTATACTTAAGCCACCGAGTGGACCTAACTCACTCATAGTTCGGTTCTTTTGTCTTCCCTTTCTTATCTCGGCTTTCCATGTAGAACCCATAGTACGGTTTTAGACCGAACCAGCGACTTTCGACCGGTATAACTCCAAGACCGGCACAACTCCAAGTTGCTTTCGGACCGAAGTACCTCTACAGTCACTGTGCCGAAGTAACTTTGTCCCTCTTATGCCGGAGTAGCTTTGCCTCTCCTCGGCCGGAGTAACCCTGTCTCTCCTGGGCCGGAGTAACCATACCTCTCCTGGGCCGGAGTAACCTTGCGGCCTTTTCACCAAGTCCTTGGCACTTTGGGCCACGAAGCCTATCACATAGCTCGGCCCAATTTTTACCAAAAATTACCCTCTCAATTGCCCCTTAATTCCATCTGCACAGCATGAAGTGAGCCTTGGGTGGACACCAGTGTGTGATGCCAGTTTAAAACTCCTGTCCTTCTTAGCAATTAGGATATTGAGTTTGATGATAATCTTTAAACATGAGAGAAGAGAGAGTGAGTTAGAACTAATAATAGTTTATCTTCCTCTTCTTTTTGTTGTGAGCTTCTTATGTGGCGTGCCTCGTGGGCTTTACCTAGGACTAATCGGCTTCTAAGTAAGCTTGCATATTACCAATTGCTACTGAAGAGAATGGAAACATGGAACTTCTTGTATTAGCAGTTGAATCTATAAATCAGATAGAGTGGACAATATAGAATATCCAATGCAGCATATCCTCATTGATGCAGATTATAAACCCATGTCTCAGTGATGTTTCTTCAGCAATTTTATCTGTTAAAGTAATAGAAAATAGTTAGAAACATGTTAAAAATTATCAATTGAATAAATATATTATAAAAATCAAATGAAATTAACTCCACACAAAGTCTCCAAAACCAAATGATTAAAAATAAACAGTCTTGGCAACAAAAATTAGACTAATGATTTGAAAGAGCCCAGACCTTTGGAAAGGGCTCTCAAAAATTATCGTATGCCACTATTTACTGCGAGCACACGGTATTCTTTAGTAAAAGGCGAAGAATAGTTCGCTTTGTGCTCACACGCTGGCTGCGTGGGTGTTACAGATGAATCACCCTCCTCTATTATTT